GGTGGCTCTGGACTGCAGTGACTGTCTCGGTAGCGAGATGTGCATGAGTCAGCAAGTCATCCAGGAAGAGGAGTTGTTCTTGAGGATCCCCTTTGGAGCATTGATTAACTTAAATCAGAGAAACCACTGAAACGTATGTTGTAAGAATCTGTTCTGTTGTGCCAGGAGCACACCCCGGGAAGGTGGGGTGAATATAATGTCTTCTCACAGCTAATTTTACTGATGGGAAGAGTATGAGACTGGCTTAGAAAAAAAAAATAGAATCACGGGCTGGCTGAGGTTGGAAGGGATCTCTGGAGGTCGTCTGGTCCAGAGCTGGTTGCCCAGGATAGTGCCCAGATGGCTTTTGAGTATCTCCAAGGATGGAGACTCCACAACCTCTCTGGGCAACCTCTGCCAGTGCTCGGTCACCCTCACAGGGAAAAAGTGTTTCCTGATGTTCAGAGGGAACCTCCTGTGCCTCTGGTCCTGTCACTGGGCACCCTGGAGAAGAGCCTGGTTTCGTCCTCTCTGCACCTTCCCTTCACATACTTATATACATTGATGAGATCCCCCCTGAGCCTTCTCTTCTTCAGGCTGAACTGTCCCAGCTCTCTCAGCCTCTCTTCATAGGAGAGATGCTCCAGCCTTCATCATCTTCATGGCCCTTTGTTGGACTCTCTCCAACTTAACCATTACTAAGTTACTTATCCTTACACAGTATATGTGCAGTAAATGCGTACAGAATACCCACAAATATAGAAGGAATATCAGGAAACCTACTTTAGTGAAAAGATAGAGACTGATTTGCATCCTAAACCCCGAGATATTTATGTAAATGCACAGAGTAGTTGCTGTGGCAGTAATGGAAATTATAGAAAGATTGGAAATTATTTCAGTAACTAAATGCTGGGAAGTCTGTCTTCAGAGTTTCAGATGGGTTCTGTTCAATCTGTAGACAATAGAGAACTACTTTGTCTTGCTTTAGTTGGCATTTCTGGAGTGGGAGAAATTATTTTTTTGGTTACTGACATAATAAAAGCAGGCATGAGACAAAACTATCCAAAAATACGATTTGAAATTTGAGTTACTGTTTGCAGACAAATTTTTTTTTTGGACAGAAATGGCTGTGCTGTTGTAAAATATTTGATGGCGTTATGATTTGATCAGAAATTACAAAGAATGAGCCTAAGTGGCCAATTGGATCACACTTAACCTTTCCTCTTTGCTTCCTATAATGCATGTTCATTGTACAAATTAGGTGACTTCCTTGGCTAGTTATTCTTCATCTCTTTGATATAGTGTATGAGTGAAATACTGTTTCAGTTTTACTCATCGTGAATGTCTTTCACTGCACTAGAACTGTGTCGGTATTCAGTGTCCCACTGATTTTCCCGAGACAGTGAGTTGTGACTTCTTTTGAACTTTGATTTGCTGTCGTAGTTGGCTTTCCACAACATGGCACCATCACAAAGTTCATAAGGAAGAGAGGTGGTTTTGTGGAATCTTTCTTGTTTTTTATGAAACAAGATCCCAGGCTGATAAATGTAATAGAAAGTTATCCTATAACTAAATATCATCATAATCTACAGGGGTAGCCCCGGGTCTATGTCATGACTCGTTCTCTTGTTGTTTTCTGTTCCAGAGTCGACAACTGGAATCAGAAACTGGAACGACTGAAGAGCACAGCCTCAACAAGGAGGCTCGGAAATGGGCTACTCGGGTAGCCCGTGAACACAAAAACATCATCCACAGCCAACGGGTAGGTTAGGAAAACTTTCGTTTACAGATTTTATTTGTTGCGGCTCCCCACTGCATGAAAGAGGAGCTGCTACAAGCACCCGGGAATTATTTTTGTCCTGTTGTCTCTCCGGGCAACCTGCCATTTTCATCTTATCCTTTCTTGGCATGGTACACTCAAACTGCCAGGTTAGCAGCTCCTCAAACTTTTTGGTTCGTCAGTACGTTTTGTTATTCCCATATAAGTCTGAAGTTACAGCTTCTATTTTACTGCAAATAACTTACAGACCTACCTCTATCCTACACAGCGTCCTTCTGTTCAAACTAAAGTTTCAGGGATCCTCTTATCTCCGCTATATCAGGTATATATATATATTTTACCCATAGAAAAAAAGGTATTCATTTGGATTTCAAAAGTCTTTTCAACACTAGGAAAATCCATGAGTAACGTGCACTTAAATCCGACGTGAAGACACAAATTTAAGTGTGTACAGATAAATTTATTTCTACATATGTGGCTCAACATAGAAGAACCTAGGGCTGTATTTGGACGTCCTGACAGGCTTCAGGTAGCTGTATTTTAGGATGCAGCTGAGACTGCCTAGGAGTGAGAATAAATAAAAGCAGCCAGCAGAAATGCATCCCTTGGGTCACCGAGTTCCTTAAACATCTATGGCAAGGCTCTCATGCTTTTGTTTGGAGAGAGTGTTGGGACCCAAGCTAACTTCTTGTGCTAACTTCTGCCTAAAAACATGTTTCACATGCTCAGATCAAGCCTAACTTGCATAGACTACATGAAATTCAGTTAAAGAGGATGTGTCTATACTACAATGTCTGTAATGAGCTTCAGCTCAGGGAAGTGGGGGACCTGGCTTCTAGTTCCACTTTAGTCTTGAGAGATTTGAGCCGTTCCTCAAACTACCCAGGGGAACACGTGAAGCAAGACCAATGTAGGCGTTTACCATCTTACGTGTCTTCTGCTGGACCTGAGTCACTCTATAGCAAAAACCAGAAGTTGTAGCGCTGGACGGAAGGTATTAAGAGGCTGTAACCCAAATATGATAGGAAGAACTCTCCTCAGAGGAAGGAGGGAGCATCCTGGATTCTGGTCCTAGCACCTGCTGCTGCTTCTGCTTTTTCTCCAAAGCCTATATAACGCAAAATACGTAGTCACTGAACCGGTCACAGATTTGCAGATAACTGGTGAAGATTTGTGTAGTCACATCTTTTGTTACTTTTAATTTGGACCAGTGCAGTCAACATACATGTACATGAAACTAAGAAACTCCAACGTGTCTTCTGTGATTCAGCAAATTCTGCTCTGGACACAACGTTCCTGCAAATGCAGCAAACCTGTCTTGGCTTCCCCTACAGCAGGGCTACCATTAGCAACTCCTCACTCCATGTTTAAGATGCTCTTTTTCAACCTGACATAAATGTGGAGGAACATAGCCATTTTAGATATGTAAACATCAACAGATAGATGAGTTGATTCATACCACATATCATGTTTTCACGAAGACGTTGAAGTGTTCCTCTAAGTGGAATTTCCATGTGAACTACTGCGCTTTTAAATGGTGTTTTGCCTTGGTCATCGTCTTTTTTCCTGGAATGGACTTTTGTCGGTCAACCCAGCATCTAATCAAACAATAATTTCCCTGACTTGTCAGAAATATTTATCGCGTAAATGGCTTGCCAGCATTTACTACATCTGTGGTGTGTTTTCTTATTTCTGACAGACACTTGAAGAGCTAGAATGCCACGGGCCTGTGATGTCTGAGCAAACCCGAGCAGAACTGGAGCAGAAAATAGATGAAGCAAGAGAGAGTATTCGCAAGGCTGAGGTAAGAAGGAAATTATTTTGGCATGTTCAGCTTCTTACCACAGAAGGATTTATGTTACAGCTATTGAATTTTGTTTGTGGAAATATAAGCTTTTAGCATAAAAAATCAGGGAATTTTAAGATGTCATTTTTTTCCTTGATTTCATACTTCTCAAGTCACTGAATCAACTTAACGAAAGACTCACGATTAGAAGAATAATATTTAAAAAAACTCCTGATGAAGAGTGATTAAACTTGTTGCGTTTTCCGCTATTGTGCAAAGGTCAAAAATCTCTGTATTTAGGGGCTTTGTCTTAAATAGAGAAAAAACAATCTCAAGTTTACTAGTTTCCTTCTGCTTGAAGGAATTAATACCGGAAAATGGTAATCATATCTGTCTTCATGCTTTTTGGCTTCTAGAAGTAACTGCCACACGCTGATGTGCCCTTCTGTTCTAGTATTTTTTGATATACGTACTAATTTGTAACGTCGATGGGAAAACATTTGCAATAATCTTTGTATCTCTTTCTACTTTCACTCTGAGGTACTTTTGAAAAGGTTACAGAGGTTTGTGAGGCCTGTTCTGGGTTAAGAAAGACTCATGACAAGATAAACTAGCTTCATACTTGACTGCCAGTGTTGGGTTGGTAAAAGTTAACTGTTTTCATGGCCAGTGATTCAAAAAACCTATTGCAAGCAACAGGAACTAATCTGTTAGGTTTTGGCTGAATGGGTTGCTTAATTAAAACTGTAGAGCAAACGTAATTATTTCAGTTAAGCGCTTCTTTCACTGCTAGATACTCAGAGTACCTGATGTAATTAGGAATGTGATTTACAGTTAAGAGGTTAGAAAATACAGGGTAAAATTATTCCTCCTACTGGTGTGATAAATGTTAGCCTCTCTTTAAAACAAATCCAGAATATGGTCTTTTAACAGAAAGTGTTTTAAAATGCAATAGCCTTTCATTTTGAGTAAACTGTTTCAAACAGACTATACTCCAAAGTACTTCAATGTATATATAGTTAATGATTAAATACGCAAGGACAGAGAGCATGAGAATGAAAGATAAACACAGCAGCAGAAAGAAAGAAAAATCAAGATGTTGCGGAGGAGAAGGTTCTCGCACAAACACATTATAAAAGGTACAAATGAAATCAGTCTGGAACTTAAGTGATTGCAAGTCTTAAGAATGCATAATTAACAGAACCCAATAAATCAGTGGAAACTGAGCAAAGAGATAACATGTTTCCTTGGGGGAGGTGGTGGAGAGAAAAATTGACAGAAGTATTTTTTATTTGTTAAATTCTGGAAAGTTAGAATTTTAAAAGTGCGTGCTGCAATAGTAATGGCCAAGAAGGGTCGCCGCAGTAGAAATTAGGCCGTGGTCCTGCATGAATGATACAGAGAGCACAAAGGCAGGGATAGCATGCCAGTTACTGTCTATGCAGATGCAGCGAAGAAGAAATTTGAGAGCACACGAGGACTCTTGCCCAGCAGAAGGTTGACTTTTCTGAGAGATTTAGCTATAAGAGCTTGAGACAAAATTGCAAGTTTCCCTGGTCACAGGGAATATAACAGAGGATGGAAGGAAAGTGCCAAGAAGTGGAAGGTTTTTTATATATATAAAAAAGAGATGTGAGATCAGAAGTAAACCCTGTAGCGTGCTGTAGAAGGCAGCGGTCTTTTCCAGAAGCAGAGGGATGGATAGAGCTCCACTGGGAAACACACTGGGCAAGAAGTGCGTGGCCAGGAAGGTGATTCATAAAAGCAATGAAGAGGGAAAAAACCAGCATGCAAGTCTCAGCTCTAATGAGGAGCAACTGCAGAGTCATATATGCGCGTCCTTATAAACACCAAACAGTACTCCAGAGAGGTAGAGAGCATGAATAATTTTGTCTGAGAGATGTGTTTTACAGTATTTGGTAGAAAGCTAATATAGACAAATAACGTATTTTTGTGGGTTTCCAGTGCTAGGCGGTGTGTTGTAGTTAAACCATCCCTTATCTTTCTAATATTTAACACGTGTTCTGTTTTACAACAGAATACGGTGAAAATGCCAAGTACTTGACTCTAAGACGACTCAATGGCTGGGTGATTTTTACTGACTTTCTTCTTTCTCTTTTGATACAAGTTTTCTACGGTGTATTTCAAAGACACAAAGTTGTCTCTGAGTTATTGAATGGTAGGTGTGTAAACCACTTTGTGATTTTTATATATTGCCACGTAAGTTATTTATAGTATAGATTTTTTTTTTAAGAGAAGCTAGTAAGTGAATTCAGTAACCTTTTGTACTTTTACTTAGGGACGGGCTTTTCTTTTAGCTTCAACCCTTATTAGTCCCCACTCCTCTAAGTGGAACTATTAAGTAATTTCAGGACGATTAATTAGACAAGAGATTTTTGCACACATACAATCCGCAGAAGAATAAACTATGTAAGCTTTGGGTAAAAATGTTTTCTTTTGTAATGCAGTTGTCATTCTTTTCAGTATGTGAAAACCAAACATTTGCAGTGCATATTTAAGTGCAACTGATTAAGTTGGAATTACTGATGGTTGGGTAGGGGAATGGTATTTGTGCAAAAAGCTACAGCCGCGTATTTAGGCTGTAGGGGAGCCATGAAACTGCCCTTCCCCTGTCCCGCTGCACTGCGTTTGGGTCAAGGAGCTGCGACTGGTAAGTAAAGCAAAGCAAAGAGACCCCTGATTTAGCTCAGTGCTTCAAAGAGGTCCTTCTCAGGATAGCACGTGGGGAAAGAAGGGTGTCTGCAGAGTTGGCAGGAGATTATTATTTCGGTCAATTATTGGAAGGACCTGGCTGCGGAAGGAGAAAGATTTTTCAGCACCTCCATGTTATTCAGAAAAAGAGGACTTGGAAAGTAGAAAAAGAAAGATTACACAGGCTTTGTTTCTTTTTTGTGCAAGTCAGTTTGATGTATGTAATTTGTAAAGAAAAACAGGGGAAAAAGAAGTCCCCAAAACATGCAAAGAACTGTTTATTAGATTTATGTTTGTGGCTGTTACTGAAGGCATGGTATTTTACGGTTGCCTGACACCATACATGGTTGCAGCCTGCATGAACAGCCCAAAGTAATTTGCCCTTTAACACTAGTTAGTTCATTATCACCTTGTCACATTAAACCTTACCATCTGCAAAACTTAGTGGATACTGCTGTGATTGTAACTGGAAGAGTAATATGTTCTGGTGCCATGTCTGAAAGTGTTTGATGATAATGTGTAGATTTTATTTTGTTAAAAAAACCCAAACTGTTTTATTGGGAAGGTGTCAATGCAGCTTTGCTTGCAACTGCAGGAAGTATTGGTTAATGTGCTGTTGTTTGTTGCCATGACGGTCAAGTCTCAGACGTGGAAAGCTCCCATTTATTCTAATTGAGTAAAGCAGCTAGAGGATAGTGCATCTAGAAGATGACAAGGGTTGCAGGGTATGAATTTCGTAACCTTGAGATAATTTCCTCAAGTTAATGGTTGCGTCAACCTGCAATACCTATAGAATCATAGAATCATTTAGGTTGGAAAAGACCTTTAAGATCATCGAGTCCAACCGTAAACCTAACACTGCCAATGATCTGCTTCACTTGAAACAGTGGAACAGGATGCAAAATAGCTTTCTTTGCCACACGGCTCAGCAATGAACAACGCTGTATAAAGAACCTGAGTTAAAAATGCCATAAAACCCATAGAGCAGCATGTGTAGGAGTTACTGTTTCTAAATGATCGTGGGTGTGTACTGCTAGCACTTGGAAGACATGGACGTTTTGCTGAATGTTATTTGTAGGTCACATGCGTGTGCGTGTGTACGTGCACACACTTTCTCTCCTCTTGTGATGTGTTAGATAGTGTGTGCCATCATTCCTCATTCCAGAGACGTTATCCCTTCTTCCTTTTGGTTTTTGTGTGTTTTTCTCTTGAAATGCGTTTTATTTTTATGTCCTTTCTGGAGTAGCGTGCCTGTCATTCTCTCCTGGTTTGACTTCTTGACCTGCTCTTCGGTGCTTTCTCCTTTGCAAATCTACCCTCTTCCTCTTCTTTCTTCATCGTTTCTGAAGGGGAAGATAACTTCACAAGCACGTCGGGATTAAATTTTGCCTTTCTTCTGGCAAAGCTATTTTGGTCATCGCTAGGCACTTCCACTTTGTGTGTTTCTGCCTGGGGAATTTTTTGCATTCTTGACGCATTGCTCTAGTGCCAGCCTGCTTAACGATCAGAAGACAAACCGGTCTCTACGTGCCATCTAATGCAACGTGAGTCAGAACCTTTTAGAGATGATATAGATTGGTAATGTGGTTTCTCCAGGGTGTATTGCGCATGGATATATTCACCTCATTGCCCTCTTCCTGAATCCTGCCCTCACCCTGAATCCTTTGAAATCTAACAACTAAGAGGAACTGAGGAACTGTACCATACGTGTAACTTACGTATTTTCTAACAAGCCCGACGGGTATGGAAGCAGGCACAATTTGAAGGTACAGCAAAGAAATATAGTAAAAGTGTGCATACAACCAAGACATGCTGAAGAAATCTACATTTTTGTCTTCTGCAAGATGTAGTGCCTGAACATAATACCTCAGATTGGCATGTTCACAGCTCAGTGGGTTATTTTTGATCTTTTTCTCCCTGGGATAGAAGGTGTTTTTCCTTGTGATGTTTCAGGGAGCAGCAGACTCCTTGATTAAAGTTTGGGAAAAATATGGCTTACACCAGAGTGCTCCTGTACAGTTGATATGTGACAGATCATAGAATCATAGAATCATTAAGGTTGGAAGAGACCTCTAAGATCATCGAGTCCAACCGTCGACCCAACACCACCATGCCCACTAAACCACGTCCCTAAGTGCCGCATCTACACATCTTCTAAGTACCTCCAGGGATGGGGACTCAAATGATATACAATGACTGTAATTGATAACCAGAACCCATATTTTCTTCTTAAAAATGGAAAGTTTCTGTTTGTTAAAGGTTTTTTTTTTGTTTTGCTCGCTTGTTTTTAAAGGAAATGTTAGAAT